AGCTGACAAAAGCTCAAAATTATCCAGTTTTCCCCACAATTACAGCTGACAGGTGCTAATATTATCTTAACTGATGCTCAACACACACACATCTGTTAATATAAAAAAAAAAAGTTCTCCAGGGTGTCCTGAACCTTTAAACACAACCTTCTCAAGCCTGGTTTATACTCTGCGCATCTGTAGTTTGCTCTCGTGGCGAATGTGACGTCATCGCTGTGCTTGTGGAACTTTGCTGTAGCTGCACGCGACATGATTTCGGCTGGCCGAGTGATTTTTTTCACAGGGCGCCACAACAGAATTGAGTTTCAATACGAAACACTTTGAAGAGATTTTGTCTGAAACAGTACGACTGTACAGAGATCTTTATGATCCCTGATCACAGAGATAACCTGATGATCAATAATTCACTGGCAGAAATTGCAACAGCCGTGGGAAAGGAAAACGTTTTATTAAAAGGTTTGGAAAAACCTGAGGGATACGTTTATTAAAGCCTAAAGAGGCCAGGGCAGAAGTGGAAACCCACATACACACTGCCCTATTTTTCCACTATACACAGGTTTTACACTAATGTTTATGTTTAATGTTGAATTTAAAACAATTTCACAGACGGACAGTATTTACAGGTGTACACAGAGACAGATATAAACAGATACTGTGAAGTATTTAGGATCATATCTCTTTCATGAAGTGTGTGTGTGTGTGTGTGTGTGTGTGTGTGTGTGTGTGTGTGTGTGTGTGTGTGTGTGTGTGTGTGTGTGTGTGTGTGAGATTTACGATCTCTCGCAGGAAGTGCTGTGGTCGTGCTGAAACAGCTGTTGTGTAATTGCGTCCTGTCATTCACAGTGATTTGCATCTTTCTTTAGCTGAAAACCAACTTTAGTGTGTGTGTGTGTGTGTGTGTGTGTGTGTGTGTGTGTGTGTGAGAGAGGGAGAGTGAGTGCAGTCTTTATGCAGTATCTCTGCATTACACTGAGACAGTCAAGCCTGAGGCGACTGATCCGGCAAACTCTGTGTTAAAGTGTTTGTTCAAATGTAAAGAAAAGCTGAGTAATGTCGTCTTTTCCACACTGATGCCTCTCGTACATCGTCTTATTCTCTTCTGGGAGAGGTTTGGGGTCATTTCCACTCAAAACAAAGCTTGCTTTTTGAATTAAAGTAACCTTAGGTCAGAATTTGCCAGGATATGTGTGATTTCAGGCTTGACTGTAGGTGTTTAGCACACAGGAAGTGTAATCCTGTTTTGTGATCTGTATTGTCCTGACACATTGAGCTTTTTAATCGTTGTTGTTCCAGAAATATGTATGTTTTATATACATATACAGTGCTTATTCTGATTGTTATAGAAACTAACAGATAATGCAGCATTATTCCATATGCATTTATTATGCTGTTAAATTAATGATTGAAGCAAAATGCACACACACACACACACACACACACACACTGCCTGACTAAAGTCTTGTGGCCATCAGAAGTGTCTCATATGAAGGCCTCTAGATTTTGCTGATTTGAGCTCAATAAATCTGATCATGTCTTGATGTTGACTGATTTGATGAGGACAGTGCGCTCTGACTCTGCTCAGACTAAAGTGTCATCACTGAACAGAAATAATGTCCAGTATAGAATATAAAGTCCTGCTGCAGTGGAGACAGAATGAAGATTGTGTCTGACTCCATCATGAGCTTGGAGGACTGCATCCATACATCTCTGACATGACTCACATCACTGATTAATAAAGTCATCTGGAATGAAGAAGAAAGCTTCAGCAGGATCCCAGAGTTCATCAAGAGTCTCTGTGTTCATCTTCAACACCTCCTCCTTCATCAGCTCAATAATGTTGATGTCTGGTGACTGGGCTGGCCAATCCTGCAGCAGCTTGACCTTCAGGAGCTTTGATGTGGAGGCTGAAGTATGAGCAGGAGCGCTATCCTGCTGGAGAATTGTCCCTCTCCTGTGGTTTGTAATGTAATGGGCAGCACAGATGTCTTGATACCTCAGGCTGTTGCAGATCTCTCACACACCCCCATACTGAATGACCCCCAAACCATGATGTCTCCTTCACCAAACTTGACTGATTTCTGTGAAAATTTTGGTCCATGCAGGTTCCAGTAGGTCTTCTGCAGTATTGGTGATGATTGTGATGCAGATCAACAGGTGTGTGTGTGTGTGTGTGTGTGTGTGCGTGCGTGTGTGTTATTGTTACTGAAATATCTCTGCATATAAAATAACACAGGATATGTGTAAGATCCAGCCAGTGTTTATTATTCAGAGCCGACTCTTCCTCTCAGAGCTTCTGGGATATTAATTAAGTTTCTTTTTCTTCAAGTGGAAATGCTCCTTCAGCGCCGCACACACACGCACAAACACACACACAAACACAGGGCAATCATTCTGTCAACAAGCCAAGATCTCAGATGAGGAGCAACAGCGTTATAAAAGCACCCTGAACACACACACGCACACACATTCGGAGTGGATCCTCCAGGACAGGAAGTGTGTGTGTGCTGCTGAGTGATGAATGTTCTGCTGCCGCTGCCAGAGAGAGAGAAAGAGTAATAAAACATGTTGACTCCTGCTGCGCCGCCGCACTTCTCTAACTCTCTCAACCTGCAGAGACACCAGCAGCACACACACACACATATATATATGCACACACACACACACACACACACACACACACACACATGCATATACACATACATGCACACACACACATATATATATAAACCTGCAGTACATAAATGCACATACATACAGTTACACACACTGGCCACTTTATTAGGTACACCTTACTACTACCAGGTTGGACCCCTTTAGCCTTCAGATCTGCCTTAATCCTTGGTGTCAGAGATTCAACAAGCTACTGGAAATATTCCTCAGAGATTTTACTCCATGATAGCATCACACAGTTGCTGCAGATTTGTCGGCTGCACATCCATGATGCCAATCTCCCGTTCCACCACATCCCAAAGCTGCTCTATTGGATTGAGCTCTGGTGACTGTGGAGGCCATTTGAGTACGGTTAAATCCCCTCTCTTCCCCATTCTGATGCTCGCTCTGAACTGCAGCAGATCCTCTTGAACATGTCTACATGCCTAAATGCATTGAGCTGCCGCCGTGTGATTGGCTGATTAGAAATTTGCGCAAACAAGCAGTTGGACAAGTGTACCTAATAAAGTGGCCGGTGAGTGTACACACACATATGCACATACAGTACATATAAACATACGAAACATAAATGCACAGACTCACACAAACACATATTCACATGCTCCCCCCCTCCCCCTTTCAGCGTTGGTCTCTTCCTCAGGATGTGAGTAAGTGATGGGCCGCAGCTCAAACCATTGGCTCTAGCGGGCGGGGTGGTGGGGGGGTCACACACAGATGTGTTGCGATGACTTCCTCCTGTCTTCCTGGAGTTGTTTTCTCTGTCTGCTCTTTCACCTGATCTCTATTG